TCCTCCCCCCCCCCCCTTAATGTGTTTTATCATTTATGTTGCCATAAGCATCATCAAAACTTACAAGAGGTGGAGAGACTTGAAGCTGCACAACCATTCCCTTTAGATTTTCAATAGACAAATGTAGGCACCATTATTCCCTCTAATACCTCCTTTGACATTTTTCCAATTGATTCACCTTTTGATATTGTCCGTGCTGATGATGTTCCTATTGCCATTGATGACCTTGATTTTCCTATTGCCATCCATAAGGGTATACARTATTACCAAACACCCTATTGCTCACTTTGTCTCTCTTGATTACTTGTCTCCTTCCTTCCATTCTTTCTTGACAAATGTGCCTAATGTTTTTTATTCCTAACAATGTTACAGAAACCCTAGCTTCACCTGAGTGGGCAGACGCTATGAAGGAAGAAATTTGTTTTCTACATAAAAACAACACGGGTGTTGGTGGATCTTCTTGAAGGGAAGGAACTTGTTGGATGCAAATGGGTTTTTATAGTGAATCACAACGTAGATGCCTTAATGCAGAGGTACAAAATCGGATTAGTAGCAAAAGGTTTCTCTTAGGCATATGGAATATATTATGCTGAGACCTGCACTTCGGTTGGTAAAATGAACTCCATCAGAATTCTCCTGTCATTGGTAGAAAATTTTGATTGAGATCATCACCAACTTGATGTAAAAAATAACTTCCTCGACGGAGGTCTAGAGGAAGAGGTGTATATCATCCAACATCCTGGTTTTCATGTTAAGGGAAGTGAGAAGAAGGTTTGCCTATTGAAGAAGTCCCTATATGGGTTAACACAGTCCCCTAGAGCCTGGTTCAGCAGCTTTAGCAAGGTTGTGCAGTGGGTTTCAAGCAATAACAAATTGATCAAACATTATTTGTGAAGAACAGGATAAAATTATAAACTTGATTGTTTATGTGGATGATATTGTATCATAGGTAACTGGGTATTAGAGATAAAGAAGTTGAAGGAGTTGTTAGCTTATTAGTTTGAGGTGAAGGATCTAGGTCCACTACACTATTTCCTTGGGATAGAGGTTGCCTGTTCTATCAAAGGATCTAGGTCCAGCAAACACACCCATTGAACAAAATCGTAGACTAGCAGAAAGGTGAAGAGGAGCCTATTACTGATGCTAAACAATTCTAGAGACTAATATGAAGATTTCTATTTCTATCCATGACCAGACCAGATAGTGCCCATGTGGTGGGAGTTCTTAGTTAGCATATGTATTCCCAAGCAATCTCACCTTGTAGTTGCAGAAAATGTCTTAAGATACTTGAAGAGACATCTTGGATGGGGGCTCTTATTTTCTAAAGGTGGTCATATGAAGGTTGTGGTGTATATAGATATTGATTGGGCTGGATCAGTGACATAAAAAGGCACAATGACTAAAATACCCCTACATAGTAGATAAGGTCAACGACCCCCATTACAACAAAAAAGAATGAGAAACAAATGGGTGCACTACACAAGAAGCCTAACTTGTTAACATTAGTGAATCCCTTTCGCATAAATCTTGCTTTATATTTGTCAATTGTGTCATTAGGTTTATGCCTTATAGCAAACACAAACACCCACTTACACCATACTGGCTTTTTTTTTTCCTTTTGGAAGGTCAAGTAAATCCTACATGTCATTTTTTATTATTAGTACACTCATTTACTAATCAAACACAGCTTTCTATTCAGGTTTGCTTGGAGTTTCTTGGACGTTCTTAGGGATCTGAACTTGAGACAAAAAAGAAACAAAGGCTTGAAACGAAGACCTCACACCATAAGATAAAGATAAGAGTACAAGAACAATAAGATAAAAGAGTACAAGAACACTTTTCTTTTTGAATGGCCTTAGGAAGATCACTATCAATGGGAGAAAAAGATGAAAGGTTACATGATTTTGAAGATTTTGATTACATTAGTTTTAGTTGTTCTCTTCTTCCTAGTGGAATAAACCTTAAGTTTTGGTTGCTTGCAAGAGTCAAGAGTAGATGAAGTGGAAATGGAAGTAGGAATTGACGATGGAACAATAATTACTTCCTCATAAGCACTATTTTCCCCCTGTGAAAGAACTCCTGAAGAAAAAAAATAAGGAACAATTTCCCAGAAAGTGATATCTGTAGAGACAAACCTTTTCTTGGAGGCAATAAAAAATACAACACCCTTTTTGAGTAATCCTATATCCAAGGAATACATATTCGAATGCATTAGGATCAAGTTTAGACTTGGATGGTCCCAAAAAAATGAGGCAAAACACACATAGCCGAAAACTCAAGGATGAAAAGGAAAAATTAGAGAGTTGAGACACAAAATCTGATCATCCTCATCCAAAACTTCTTCCAACTATATGGGGTTGGCTGCATGAATCCTACTTCGCCAATCCGTTCTAAGTCTACTTTCTCTCATTTAATCACCTATTGGAGCTACTTTTAAGTTCTTATGAATGGCTTCGTTTTATCTTATCCTTTCTAACTTTTCCACTCGTCCATCTCAGCATATGCATTTCTGCAACACACTTTTTATAAGTGATATTCACCTATCACATAAAACTCTAGATGTACCCTCCAATTTGCCCATCCTACTCTAGTTCTATGGGTGGCATCCTCCTCAGTCTTTTCCTTGTTATGAATTATTGAATCAAGGTACCATAAAAGGTCAACATTGAGTAACCTCTTGGTCTCCAATCCCGAGTGTACCCTGATTTGCACTCCCATTGTTATTAAATTTATATGCCATATATTCTGTTTTAGTCCTACTTACATTAAAACCTATCTTTTCAAAGACACAAAATCTGATAAGAATATTATATTGAAGAATAGGAGAAGCCATCTGGTTTATAAGATAGGTAATGGTCAAAATAACCTTAAACAAAAAAAAAATGAACTTAAAAAATTAAAAAAAAAAAAAAAAGACTTAGGAAGTTGCATACTACATGGTAGTCCCCTCACCAATGTTTTGAAAATTGTAAACATATCCTGAATCATAAATGAAGTTGAATTGAACTGAATATTGATTAATATATATGCACCAAAAACATAGTACCACTTGTACATCAGATGCCTAAGATGATATAATCAAGTTTGACTTGAAAGTCAAATAATCCACATTTGATGGCTCTTTAAAACAAGTCTCGCTTGACAAAACTAAATAGAGACAATGTAGGGAACTACTTAATTGAACTAATTTGAAACACATGAGTTGTATAAATCGTAATATTAATGAATCAATAGGATTCAAATAAAAATTATAAGATTATTGTGATAATTTTTCATGTCATTTCAAGCCAAAAACCATTAGACTTTCAACCGGAATTCCATTTTCCTTCTATCATCTTGTGTCTTAATTGTGCTAATTTTTCTTCTTTTAGGTTTTGCCATCTAACTCTTGGGCTCCTTTTTCTCTTCTATTTCTTTTTTTTTTTTGATAAGTAACTTCAAAATTTATTAATCAAATACCAAAAACATTACACATATCCCCCAGAGAGACACGAGATGTTACCTCTCCAACAGAAAAATAAAATACAAATTACATTTGAGCCTAAATATAGTTGAATTTTACCCAATGTACCCATAGTTTTCGAGGCGCCAAGGCGAGGCTAGGAAACTAGGGGGTGCCTTGTCGCCTAGTCGCCTAGGCAGTGAATTTTTTTATGTTAAAAACATAGATCCTAGGGTAGTTCCCTAGGATCAACATATTCATGAGAAGTATAAATTTCATATTAAAGTATAGAAAATCAACATATTCATGAGAAGAAAA